TCTCTGAGGTTTTAGGTTGCTTCGCCTTATTTCACTTTTTTCTTGTTGTTCTTATTGATTACTTATATTTTAAGTTTAGTTGTTTAATTTCCAAAATGTCGAAAACATCCAACAAGACGAGTAGGATCCTCACCAACGTTGTCAAGCACCTCGTTGGCAACCTCTACCCAAAATCGTTTTTGCAACAGTTGTAGGTCGCCTATCGCCGATTCCGTCGCAGGGACTATATTGGAAATACAAAATTTTAAGCAAATTTGTTTTGTTAAATTTTGTTTTCATGATAAAAAGAGACAAGTTGTTCTAATTTAGAACATAAACATTTATCGATTCAGCTTGCTTGCCCAGTTTATGGTATTAAGAGCAATCCGAGCCAAATTTGACCAGCTGTCTTTAACTCTCCACTATACCTATTATCTACTATTTGTACAGAAGTAAGACACTTTTCGGGACGGTTTTATGCGTGTTTTGGAATCTAATCTGTGCACAATCCTAGTCTGCGGCGTATATCGAAAATTATGTGTTTCCACTGCACATCTTTTCCTCAACACAGCAGCACAAGGAATCAAATTTGGTTCTGTAAGTGGAAAGCAACGAAAATTGCACCTCTTTTGCAGAACATGCCACAAACTATTTTCAATTTTTACTCATTAAATTTGGCAATTCACGTTTCTCCTCTTCATGCCACTCTTTAGCTCTCCGTTCAAGTTCTCTTTGTAATTCAAGCCATTTGCAGTGTCGTTCAATCAACCAGCTCATTATGAACAGTCAACAGTTAACGGTCCACAGTCTCAATGCTTCAAACTTCAATCACTCAATTACTTTGTGGTAATGGATACCAGTCACCATGCACACACACACACACATATATATGTATATATATATATATGCACGCTGAGCGCAATAGTTCACAGTAGTTGTTCACTTTGCCATCAACTTGTTTTGATAAATGGTTGTCAAAATTTATTTATTTCTTCTCTTTGCAACTGTAGCAGCAATTGGCGACGACTGCCTGGTTAGTTATTACAAACTGTGGTGAACGTCATCTTCGTAGCATAGATTTTTTTACTTCGATTTCGGCGTCGCGTAACGCATATTTGCACAGCAAATGATGCTGAAAACACTGTGGCGGACAAGCCATTAACAACAACAAATAAACGTACATATTTTCATACTTTCATTCATATATATATAAATGTATTTATGAAAAACGTAAGCGCTGGAAAAAATATTGACACAATCTATAAAATTAAGTGCCGTCTGTTCAACATTACTCACCCTCCGCGGCTTCGTTGCTGGTAAAAGAATTTGCCAATACTTTCTGTCCCTGTTTGGCTTTATAGTTGTTGTTGTTTTCTTCTTCATCATCAATATTAACCATTTTCGGCCCAGCCGGCGTGCAGTCGAGCGACAAGAAAATATTGCAAAAATTGACAACAACAACACGATTGAAGACTATTGCTGAGAGCGCCTTAGCTGTCACCCACTAAGTGCTTGTACATATGACAGCAACAACAAAAACGTCAATGAGCGGGAGAGTGAGGTGTATGATGACATATAATTCGTATTGTGATCAACTCCACCAGCAGGCTGTTGTTGTCTTCGTCCACCGAAGATGATTGATAGCTGCCTATGCCATTATGCTGCCAAAATTAATGAGATTGGAAATTTCATTATGATAACAATGGCAACATGACACGCACATTCAAATAAGCACACCCGCGGAGAGAGGGTGGATTGTAACAAACCGAACGGTACCGAAGAAAAGCGCACGGCTTGCTGAAATTTCACAGGGTACAATTGATTGATTAAGAAAAAGACGTTTAAAATGTAGCTAAAAATTAATAATGAAAATTTTGCTACTAAAGAGTTCTTAATAAAAAATAAAAACAAGAAAAAACGCTAACTTCGGTTGCCCAAGCTATAATACCGTTCACAAATATAAGAGCTCCTTACAAGAACTTGATTCCGATTGTTCAGTTTGTATGGCAGCTATTTGCTATAGTGATCCGATATCGGTGGTTCCGACCAATGAGCAGCTTCTTGGGGAGAGAAGCACGTGTGCAAAATTCCGATTGATAGTTAAAAGACTGAGGAACTTGTTTGTATATTGCACATATTGTTCAGATCGGACCACTATATTATATAACTGACATACAAACTAAACTCTTCGGTGCCGCCGAAGTTAAAGTAATTTTTTTGCTTTAATTATTAAAATATACTTTGTTCTATTTTATTTAAATTTTAATTAAACATAATATATAATATTTTAGTTTTACTTTTTATTTTTTTTTTACTGTATTTAATTTAGTTTTTTTAGTTAATATTTTATTTATTTATTTTAATTTCAATACACATTCATTGCAATATTGGTTTCTTCCACTTCTTTAAAGCCAAGCCGCGTACTTTTTCCGCCCCCTAAGGTATGCAACGCTTTAAATTATAGTCATTATCCCCAAAGTAATTTCGCTTTTCTTGCCTTGCACAGAGTTGTTCCCAGACATTTTCAGCCTCATCATTTCTACTTTTTAAATGTTTGTCGTAAAATATGACATCAATTTACATTTTTTTAGGCCAAACTTTACGACAGCGAACAGCAGCGCAAATGAAATGTAGGAATTTGTCTGAAAAAATTACCTAAAGATAAAGCAGTCAAGCTGGTTGATGTATGATTTGGTAAAACCAGGGCATGCAAGTATTCAACGCCCGCAGACGCAGCAGTAAATTTATCAGCAATTTGTTTTGGAATTTAGATTAATGTGCGTAACAGCCGCACTGTCACTACAGACGACAGATAAGTCTTGATTAATCTGTTTGGCTTCACTATAATCGCGATGAGGCTGACTTTTTCCGCGTAGACGCATATACTCCACTCACAAGAAAGCATTTGCTGAGAAATTTTTACGGTGAAATTTCATATGTTTTCTACTTCCAATTATACAAATAAAAGTTTATATTAATTTTTAGCATAGAGGTATTTTGTATATCGCTTTTCGAAAGCATTTATAAAATGATAAATTTACATATATGATATATATTTGTTTTATAATAAGAAGACCTATCACCAAAAAATAAACACAGCCTCCATAAACACAGCCTAGCATAAATATGGCTAATTTCGCATTTTTGTGCGCATTTCACTCTGAAGCGCTGAAGCCTAAACCACGACATTTAAAACAACTAGCAATTATGGACGAGAACGAAATTGTTGTACCAATCAATATGAATTTTTATTTAAAACAAAATATGTCCCTTCCCTTCCATTTAAGTGTTTTCCTGATGATCCTCTTTGCTTTACAATTTTTATTTTGGTTTTGAAACTTTTGTTTCAGTGTAGTCCAATTTTTCCTATGATTTTTGGTTCAGCGCTATACCTTCAGTTGATTATGTCACCATGTGGACTTTTCATCTATAGTAGAAAAGCTTTCTCTAAATTTCTTGAACACATATGTTAAGGCCGATTTTATGTATTTTATAGAATTGGTATATCAACCATTTTATCATCTGTTTGATTTTCGCTTTGGTCGGAATACTCCACATCATTCTTTCGTAACCTTTATCAACTCGTACAAAACTGCTAACGGCTCAACTTTTCTACTCCTTTTAGTCTGTAGAAGTAGAAACTAAAACACAAAACATACAGCTATTATGTTTTTATTGTATCAGGAATATGTTTTTGTTTCTGTTTTTCGTTTGGTTCTTCAATAGATGAGAGAAATGAGAATTGTTTCTATTCTACATTGTTTTATTAACCAGCCGTTCCGCCTGCAATGTCCGGTGTAGAACGCGACAAGTAGCCGGAATTTATTTTTCGGGAGATTAATTACGGTTTTAAACCGTCTGTGATCATAACCCCCCATCAACAACCTGGGAGACGTTTCCAATATCTCTCCCTGCCTGCTCTTTCCTCTTTACGGAACAGCTCCTTAATGGCGTGTGGACCAACCGCTACGCATGGTTCTGGTCCTACCATTTTTGTGGAGGCTACAGAGCTGACCAACTCGTCAGCCAGTTCATTTCCGGCTTTACCCCTGTGACCAGACATCCAAATGAGGTGCACTCTATTATGGTTTGATAGGCTGTTCAGCCGTTCTATGCACTCCTGCACTAGTAGCGATTTGACCTCTAAAGCAGAGATCGCTTTTAGTGCCACCTGACTATCGCTGAGTATGGCAATACTTTTATTGCGATAGTTGCGTTGAAGGTTTATCTCTACACAACGACTTATAGCATATACTTCCGCCTGGAAAACGCTAGAAAAACTTCCCATCGGTAGGGAGAGTTTGGGGCGTGGTCCTGCGAACCCTGCCTCTATCCCCTTCGGCGTTTTCGAGCCATCGATGTACCACTTGATAGTGCTATCCCTTAGCAGTAGGTACAGCGGGGAATCGTTCCATTTCGCCTTACTGCCCAGGGTAACTTTGAACTTCCTAGTGAAGCTTACAGCTTTGGGGTAATGCTGTCGCTTGGAAGAAAGGCCAGTGGCATTTCATCACTTAGGGCCTTCATCTGCTGGGACGAGATTATCTTCCCTTTGCCAAACCCTTCTGCTGTCATTTGAAGCAGGGTCTGTTTGGCCATCTGTTCGATCACTATATGTAACGGTGTGAGTTCCAGCATTACTTCCAATGCTGCAGTCGGACACGTACGCCTCGCGCCCGACCCGCTCGTTATGATCGGTCTCACCATCATGCTGTACAACCATCTGATAATTCTCGGGTTGCAGCCCCAGGATTTCCCTGCAATTCGATTGCACACCATGAGCGCTTTCGTAGCTTTGGCTTAGGTCAGGTCCACATGCTGCTTCTACCGTAGAGTGGAATCCAGCGTGAGGCCTAGATACTTGACCGTGTAAGCCATACCCCGCTCCCTGCCGTCAGGGATCGTCCTGAGCGCCTGGTAAACGGTATGATTGTAGTTTTGGACAGCACCTCACCCCCATCTAACGAACTTCGATCCCTGAGGTTAGCTGATACAGAGCAGTATTGCTTGATCTGCCTGCTCTGTAAGCATGCTGCTTCGCATGCAACGAGTTCTTTGGAGAATACTCAACAATTATATATACATCGTCTACCAATAAAAATGATACTCCCACAAATTTACCGCTTGGTGCGGATTGCAGTATGGCGGCATCATCACGCCTTATTATTAATCATTAGCACAAATTGAAGATTTCAGATTAAAAATGAATCGTAAAGTTATTTTTAGTAGTAAAATCAAGACCTCAGAGAAGAAATAAACGATCTACAAGTATGTTGTGAGACAGTTGCTAATAGTGAACAAATAAAATAGTTCACATTCAAAATTTTTATATAATAGAGATTTTAAAATATTGTAGTGAAGAACTTGAAGAAATATTCCAGGATATAAGAGCTAAGAGCTGCCAAATTTTAAAAGAAGCTCAATAACAGGAGCACCAAAGTTCGACTATTGGCTTAATTTGGAACTAGAAAATAGTACTCTTCAGATATCAAATAATATTGCAGTTTAAACTCTAACAAGCATTTTTCTAAAGGCCAAAACCATGCCTTTCGAGTTAACGTTAGTGAAGATTTCATGTCTTCATTTCGTGAACTGAATCACCATTACTCGGGAAATTTGAAAAATTTCGTATTCTGATATATTCTTCACTGCCAATTTCGTTTGATTTCGCAGGTGTTTTTGACGTTGTTGCATTTACCATTTGTTTTTTTGTTTCTTTCAAAAATATTGCTCTGACCTTCGTTGATAATAGTTTCATCCTTTGCAATTTTTGAAAATATTTTAAATAATAAATAAACAGTAATATAACTGAAATATGTTTTTCATTGATGCCATTTTAGTTTTAGAGGTTTTACCCTAATTTTTTTTACCCATAATCATTATTTAGAGAGCGAAGGCAAAATAAAATGAAATAATACTTTGTCTTTGTTAGGGAATTGCATGATGCAGATCATCTTCTCAGAGACCTTTGTAATTATAGGATGCAATTATTCGTATTATTATTTGCTTATCTACGCCCACTGGTTCAGACTTTGCACAAAGCAGAAATACCGCAGAATATCGGTAACAAAAAAACCAGAAATACAAAAGGCTTCTGTTAAGCAGTCGCCATTTTTGTCCCAATATCGGAAGCAGGTAAAATCCTTTACCCCGAAACAATAGCCGCAATATTTTACCTGTTCAACTTGAAGACACGTGCTCACGCAAGATAGTATATAAACCGTTAGAATTTTCACTTTGTTATCACAACGATTTCAGCAAGTGAAACTTCAACTACAACGCAAAACTCGGAAACTTTCAACCATGGACTCCACAGCAGAAAATATATCGCTCCTAAAAGAAGAGGAAGACTTTTTCAACATTATCGAAAGCGCAATCGATCTATCGAAGTATATTCCGCACGAAGTAGATTTCATCAAAACTGACGAGGATGGCAATAATAGTCATTCTACTCCACTATGCCGAAGCGCCAGGATGAATTTGTCCATTTTTAGAGAGCTGCAAAGTCCAGAAATTGTTAACCCCACAATACCAACTTTGGTCGTAAAGCGGAAAAGGGACATAGAAAACAGAGATCCCACAAATCTGTTTATGGTCATCAAGCAAACAAAGAAGCAATGAGACGAGCCTTAAACTATGGAGAGTCATTATTTACCAAAAAATTGGACGCTGTGCGCTGGTTTGCATCGCCACTCGTTCGTAACTGTTTATTTCTTTAATTCGCGAAGCGTAAGATAAAACTGGAACAAAAATAGAAAATTAATGAATGGAAGGTTTCTTAAATAAATAAACAATGATTCAATCGTGTACAAATATTACTGTTTAATATATCCATAAACCCGCAATATTTTCATTAACTTAATATTTTCAGTGTTCATTGTAGCTGATTTCTACATAAGTGGCTGTCATAGAACATAACTCCTCTTTTAGGATGAAAATTGTTTGACATCTTTCTTTACTAACTTCCTGATGAATAGGAAAGTGTTTGTTGGTAGAAATCTGTTCTCTGCGTGTAGTCGCTCTGAGTTTTTGAAGACTTTTGTAAGACTAACAAGAGCAGTTGGTGCTCTCTAATATCGTTCAACGAGATGAAAATTGACGAGAGAGTGAGAATTTAACATCAGTATTATTCGTCTCTGGGAATGATTTTGAGCGACTAAAATCTAATTAACTGCAATTCTCTCAAACTTCTAAATACTTAAAAGGTGCTAATTAAGATTTACTTTGTAGTATTTTATTTTTACTTTTTTTATATAAATTTTTTTAAATTTTCTTTAATTATATTACAAGTTACTTATGCTTGCTTTGCTATAACATTAAATTGGTATAAATATGGCAAATTTTTTTCGCTCACCATCATAACATTCCCAACTATTGATCCTGAAACATCAACACTTTAAACACTCGCAATTATGGACTCCGCGACTAATAATATGGCATTAAGAAATTATAAAATTGTATCGACAGAAACACCACATGATTTGCAGCAAGGCGAGGAATCAAAAGAAAGTGTTGACCGAAGCGAAATACATAAATTGTCAGAATCCAAAAATCAACAACAACCTGATAACGAGGGTTTATCCATAGCCGCTATGCAACTAAAACGCCGAAGAGAATTTGAAACCAAATTCAACTTGCATGTAAAAAGGTCGAAAAGAGGTGAAGATATAACAGCAGCTGCAGAAGAGAGTTTGCAAAATGAAGTAAAAGCCCCAATGGTGCAGATACCGATATACGCATCAATGGTCCTAAAATCAGGAGAAAGTGACATAATTGATTCGTTTTTGAAATTGCAAAGTATTAAAAAAGAGCGAGAGAATGAGCTAAACACAACAAGTTCTTTAATCAAAAAGGAACCGATCCTCGAAGATTTCGCATCATTGTTACCCTATCAAATGAGTATCAGCGATGTTGATTTTGGTGCTAGCAGAAAATTAGATATTCAACCGGAGCCAGTCGACAAATTGGATACATCAAATACCTTAAATGCAAAGGAATCACTTCATCAGACATCACCCTCTTCGTTTCTTCAGCAAGCGCTTGATAGAGCTTATGCCAACCAATCCGGTGATGGTTTCGAAATAGGACCGAACGGAACACGATTATCAATAGAGGATTTGGCAAAAATTAGGTGGACGGGAGTATCAGCTGCCACGCGATCGCTTCTGGCCTTACTGTTCGACCGTCAAACCCTTGGCACATCGAGTCTAAGTGGTAAACTTTCGCCTGCTTTTCCGGATCGTGCAGCCAAGGATCAATTAGATCCTCGCAAAATACAGGATGTAATATATTTTATAAAATCATTATTTAATTCTTCCGAACGTGAAATTCGTAATATAATAACTGTCAAATGCGCAGATACTGCAAAAGCGTTCAAAAGAAGTACTTTATCCAAGTCAAAGTTGGGAAAATTGTTTTAGTACCTTAACTAAGTATGTAGATGTTTGCATGTTATGCTATATGTGGGTATAATTGTAGTTGTAGTAATTAAATTAAAATTAAGAGATTAATGTGTCTAAAAATATGTGTTATATTGGTTCATTATATATAGTGTTGAGCCCAATTCAAAATGTTAAAAATTAAATTTAAAATAAATTAAAAAAAAAAAAATAGATTGTATCATTTTAAGCATATGTTTTTTTTTTAATTGTATTGATTATTATTTTAATTCGTATTATTTAAATAAACACATATACCATATACAAATATAATGAGATAAAATCGTACACCTTTTAAATTATTCTAAAGACTTAACTGATGTTTCTGGTACAGGAACAACAGAACAAATTCTTGGTCTCTAAATAGTTTTGCAAATATTTTTTCAAAGAATAAGTTTAGGAGTTTTGTATAAAATATGTACAAGAAATACACAAGTTAATAAATAATATTGGGTTGAATGAACGTTCATCGCATATAAATTCGAGAACTATAAACGTCGGAGACCCGCATAAAATATATGTATAAATGATCAGCATGACAAGCTGAGTTGATTTAGTCTGTCTATCATCTGTCCGTCTGACCGAATTTAGCTGAACAAGTCACTCAGTTTTTGAAATATAGAGCATATAACTGTCATAAAAATCAAGATCAAAATTCTTTTATACTCTTTTGTGATATAAGAAATGTACCTGTGCAGGTATTATAGCTTCGGTGCAGCTTGAGTTGCCTTGTTTAATCTCTAGTGGTGGTAATTTTTAGTTTTTTAGAATTCTGTTTCTTCTCTTGTCCAAGTTTTTTGAGTGTTTGATAATCCACGTTTTCGAGCTTTTATTCGAAATTGTTTTCTTTTTACCATAATTTTTACAAATATAATACAATATTTTAGTTGAAACTTCTTACAGATAGCTAATATGCATGTAGAACTCAATGCCTATGTCTAACTTTTTTTTGAGGTATATCAATTAAATTCATAGTGCTTCTTTTTTTTGAAAATAATGTACCTCTGTAAAAAATGTGGCTAAATCTTTAATATATTTTAAGTAAATTTAATAAACGCAAAATCCTGGATATACTTTAGTTTGAAAGCGAAAATGGGTGAAATCGATCCACATATTGTGCAAAGTACTATACATAAACTACCTACAATGCTTTCCGTAATTCTAATGGTAAATGTTTCTCCTAAAAGTAGAGAAAGAACATTATCGAAAGTGCAGACGAAAGCAAAGAACGCTTAAAACCGCAATACTAGTAAATTTTCAGCCAAGTATCTTACATAGGTAGAAAACCGATTTGTATACAGTAAAGTGAAAAAATCGGATCGAGTTTAAAATTTTGTTATATGGGAAGTAGGCGTGATTGCGAACAGATTTCACCCATTTCCATAGTGTATAATACTAATGATTAGATAACCTTGCACGCCAAATGTTGTCGAAATCGGTCAACTAGTCTCAGAGAATTCGCCCATTGACTAATTTTTACACCTGCTCCTATAAACCCATTGCCTACCATCCTGGTTATGAAATTTCACCCGGATTTCAACTCCTTTCATCACCCTGTTCATTTACCATATATACGTTTATATAAATAACTCTATATCTATACCCATTCGTTTTCAATGAGACAAACAAACGTTAGGTGAACAAACCTATTATACTCTATAGCAACATTTTGTAAGACTATAAAAACCATATACACAAACAATATTCCTCAAACTGAGCATGAAATTTTACTTGATATTCGGTAAAATCTTCCAGTGGACTGAATACAGCACAACATAGCTGCGCGAAAGGTTTGTGCGGCGAAGAAGAAAAAGCAAAATGAAGAAACAACAATCGTACGCCATATAGTAGTAATAACTGTTCTTTGCACACGACCGCTCTCAGTTTCCGAAGACTGTTGTTGCAATTTGCAAGCGAAAAAGGAGATGGTTAGTACTCTCTGACATTCATCAACAGGATTATAAAATTATTTATCTGGATGAGCGCTTGCTAATGATTTAACGAGTAGCTATATCACATGCTATTGTATTCAGAGTCTTCGAAGAGCATAATGTCTTACATAATTTCCCGTTATCATACAATATTATTTTTAACAAACAAAAATTTTTCTACTTAAGTGACAAAAACAGCAGAGGTGCCATTGGTTTCTAACCTTCTAGAAAAAAAAATATATTTATTTTTGTCTGCCAACATAAGTTTTCAATTTTAAACAATAACAAATCTTGTATGCTATTTTAACAGTACCTGTTCACTTAAGCCATTCCCAATAGTAAAATTTGTCTAAATCTGTAAACAAAAAACTTGGTAGAATTGGATATATCACTTTAGTGAGGTATCCACACACTCGCTCATATCGCATTCAACTTACCTATTTTGTTGTACATTTTCTGGGAAGAGAGCACAAAGACAGAGTACGGCGAGTCGATGACGGCTATTCTCATATTGCGAAAAGTTGTGGAACTCTAAAATATTTGTGCGCCACTGTTCTCTATTTTTACTCCATGCAAGTCGTACGCACTGTTCAAATGTATGTATGAGTTTAACACGTGCTCCTTTCAAGCGTGTCTAATTGTAAAAGTTTTCATTTATGAGATTTGATTAGAAGTGAGCGGAAAATTTCAAGCAAAGCAACGAACTAAGAGAGCCAAAATGTATGAGTCAAAATTTTACAAATGTTTTGTGAAAAGCACAGACTTATTAGGATTAGTTATAAAGATTACTTAGAGCGAATGCAGACACATTAAGGTATGTACATATATAAGTTTGAATGTGGGAAATAGCAGATTTTGGTGCGAGATGCTTGAATGAACAGATTTACACTTCTAGAAAGAAAGTTAATGTATTAGAAATGAACTTTGGCAAAACTAAAAAAATAAAAAATAAATAAAAAATTTATGAAGTTTGACGCTATTGAATGTCAGTGGTCGGTTGGTTGATTTTTGCCCAGTCGGCAGTCGCTTGTCAATTCACTCGCCCAGCTGACAGCCACACACCAGTATATTATCGCTCATGCTCCAGCTATCCTTTGCATTCGCATAAAGGCGAACTGTCGAAGTAGACAAGTGAAATTTATTTAAGCATGAATTGACAGCTGGACAAATTGAATTTTCAATGCAAGTATGCTGGTGATGCTGGCGGCATGTAGATTGCTGTTGCAGCAGATTTTACGATCCCCCTTCCTTACCACCTTCCTCTACTTGGCGCGCCGCGGACAGCGTGTGAAGTGAGCAACTGAATGGCAGCGCCGAATAAGATGAATAGAATTCATTGCGAATCGGACAAGCTGAGACGACTGGATTGGCACCTCAGACATGCTCATAAAACTAAAATTTTCCATCATCAATTCATCGTTGTTTGTGGCATTCAAATCAATGGCGTTGCAACAACAACAACCAACCAATTGGTACACTTCAGCATGCTAAAGATTTATGTGACTGTCACGAAGGAATCATCACACAAAATTTAGATTAGAAAGTGTAGCGAACTTTACTGCAAAGAAGAAGTCTATAAAAATCGATTTGTGGTCCAGACAAATCCGTCTTGGTGCGGTGTGTATGATGGAATGTGTGTTCTCAGTTAAAAAGTAAAAAATTGAATACACAAGGACACTTTACTACTTGCGCCATTAGTTCTCTCCCCTAACACTATTATTTGCTCTGTCACTCTCTCCGCTCTGTAAATATGCATATCTTTCCTTTTTATTTTGTTTTTGTATTGTATTTAAATATATTTTTATATTTTACAGTTGAATTCTGATTTCAGCGTATTTCTTACGGTCCACTGCGTCAATGTCTGCCGTAAGAACACTAAAATTTTCTAAGCTAATAAATCATGGTTGTGTTCGTTTACTCTTATTGTAGACATTTATAACCTTAGAATTTTTCTTTAATCAAATTTAAAAACTATTATTTTCTATTAAGGTTTTAAAAAATATTGGTATAACTGGAAACTTGAATCAATCTGACACAACTAACTGCTTTTTCATATTATTTTTATGTCCAAATTATACCTAAAGTGTCTTGAACACTATATGCGATCGGGTGCATAAAAGTACATCCCATCTTCTAGCTCTGCAAAGATATTTTCAAAAGTTTGTTATATTCCTTTTCTCAAAAATTTTCACAATGTGTGCAGATAGGAATTAAAGCGTATTCAGCTGCTCTATTAAATTCGTTATTAACAAGTCTACATCTTAAGGTTCAGTTATTGAAGAGACCAAACATTGGGTAACAATATCAGATAATTATTTACTATTTTATTTCTGTGTTGTAGTCTTGTATTCCCCTCTCTTATAATCCACATAAACTATTATTGTACATTAAGCTTTGAAGAATTTTTTTTTAGGTTTTTAAGTTGTTCCAGGACAAACTTGAAAAAATTGGTGGTAAACAATTTATAATTAAGAATAAAGTATCGGTGTCACGATTAAGGTTACATCCACTTGTGAATTTCAAAAAGTCCACTTTTTTGTTTGCATATACATTAGGGTGGAGCAAAAAAAACTTTTTTCTAAGCCTGAGGGTAAAATTTTTTGATTATAAATAAATAAAATTTTTGGAATAAAAAAATGTTTTTGGTTTAAACTCTTCACATTTATATAAGAATTACCGAATTGACGGTTTTTGACTCAATATTTATTTTAACGCTTAAGGAAAGCATGTTCATTTTTTTTAAGTTGATAACTTTTAATTGGCCACAAAGAGGACTCTCCTCAGCTTCTAGAACACTTATCAAACATTTTTTACGAATTAAAAATTTTAACTCGAAATTTACTTTAAAAGTGAGTGGTGATTTTTTTTTCGCTTCACCCTAATATACATATATCGAATAAACTTACTTACCCTCCACATGTCCTGCACACAGAACTTAATCTGAAAACATATCCGGCCACCGGTTTACATTCCACGAAAACGTTTTGCTATTTTTTCTAACCATGTTCTTTGATATAAAAAACCTTAAAGTAGATTTAAGGTTATTTAATAAAAAAAAAAGATCTACAAGTATTATGGAAACCTTTATTTTGATTGGTCTGTTTGTATGGCAACTATATGACGACAAATGAGCAGCTTCTTGTAGAAAACGAGTCGTGTGCAAAATTTTAAAACGATATCTCAAAAACTGAGGAACTCATTCGTGTATATACAGACATACAAACGAACATATCTTAAACGGAGCAGCTCATCATGTTGATCATTTATATACAATATACTTTCGCGGATCTCCGACGTTTCCTTCTGAGTGGCAAACTTAATATACCCTGTTCAGCGGTGAATAGAATAGTGACCATTGAGTAATAATCTTAAATTATACTATAATTATATATACTTGTATAATAAGAGACCGAGAATGTCAACAAGTTGTTCTAAAGTTTTGCATTATTTATTACAACTGAATCTCATTTAAAAAAAAGTTGTTATTATAACTTTTTACAATATTGATTTATGAACCCGAGAACCTTATATTTCCTGCACCCATTTAACTAAGTCTACTAATTTATTAAAGTTCCTTTTGTGTTGAGTCATAAACATTTCTAATTGCTTTGTGGTAACCCTGTAGTGTCTACTAAACTCGCCGTAATCTTTTATTTTTTAATTTTAATTATTATTTTTTTTGCAAAAACTTTAACCTGACTCATGGCCGTTGGCGCCACACTCACCAAATCAACTAAATTTGCGCTGCTGTTCACGCCGCTTACCGCTCGCCGATCGCCGTTCCTTTGTGCCTCGCCAACAATGTTTGGCCGGCTTCGCTTTGCATTATTTCCACTATACTGATTCATTAATTCGACGTTTTATCATAGTTTCCAGCATAGCTCAAGCGTGAAATTCGTTTGCATTTGCAACATTTGTTATAAGTCTACAAAGTCTACAAAGTATGCGTCTTTCCGTGTGTCCTTCTACCATAGAATACAATGAAAATGAATGATATGGCATTTGCCTTGCGGGTAGCACCGTTAAAGTGCCAACAACAACAGCAAGTAGCACTGACTCCGCACGACTATCAGCACTAATACTACAGCAAATAGCCGGCGGCAAAGATAGTACAAATAGTGAAATTAGCAGAAGTGTATTGTGCGACAACAACAATAGCAACAACAACAGTAACAAATGGAATCAAAACAACAATTGGAATGGCAGTCTTAAACTGCTTGTACCACGCAGCAGTAGCACATATTACGTGAACTCCACGCCACCATACGCCCCGCTCCGCTATCGCACAAAATTTATTATTCTCGTTACTGCAGACAGCTGTAATACGCTTCCAAAGCCGGCAGTGCCATTTGACATTGCATTGCTCACGGCCAGATTTAGTAGATTTGGACATTACCATTGGTAGCGGAGAGTGGTGGAGGCAGGGATATGACTGTTATAAGGGAGCTACAGGCTACAGGCAGCGTGGTCGCGGTGCTCGTTGCGGGATCACTCAGGATGAGCTCTGCTAAGGCTGTGTGCGCTAGTTTACTTCCGCTTCGCGTTGCTCATCCAGCATTTACGAGTTTGACTATTTTTACGACTTGTATCGAAATACCATGCGTCTACGTTGCGCGCTCGTCTTCGTCTTGCGTTTATACTTCCGCTGTGCGCCTGTCCACGCTCGAATGCTTGACGTTTGCTGCACATTTTTTTGGGTGCAAAGCGGAAATCACTTTAATGCAATTGAGTTGAAATTGCTGCGCATTTCCATTTCGTCGTGCTCACTACTTTGCCATAGCCAGCTTCGAGCTTTCGCACAATGCTATGACTGATTGAAAAATGAATAAGTGAGTGATGAGCGGAGAATACGATATGCGAGCTTAAGTTTGGAATAAGTGTATGGATGTACACATTAGGGCGGTCTGAAATCAACTGAAAAAGAGGGAGTTTTTTTAGTTCTCTATTAACGAGTATTCTCGTATTTGAATATGGTTAAGGCTGTCTCTCAATACGGGGTCACATTGAAATCTCTCAATGGAGACACGAATAACATATTTCTATTTCATCTATCAGGTAGTTTTTGGACCTATTTTTATGCCCTGAACAAAATATATTAAGTTTGTCACGAAGTTTGCAATATCCAAAAGATAGCCTCGGAGACCCTCTCAATAGTTTTTGAGATATCGACCTGAAGTTTTGCACACGTCTTTTCTTCCCAATAAGCTGCTCATTTGTCGAAACCGCCGATATCGAATCAATATAGTATACACAAACATAGTTCCCATACAAACTGAATGAAAAAAATCAAGTTCATTTTCTCTATTTTTTTGGTACGGTATAATCTTAGAATAAGCTGTTCAGATGAGACCACTGCAGCATATATGTAGCTTCTATACAAACTGACCGATCAAAATCAAGCATGCAAACTTTGGTTAAGGTTTTTTTTGTTTTCAACTTTTTTCGAGTGAGACCCAATACAAAATATGAAATTGGACTTCGCTGTCGGATGTTTTGGGTATTCTGAGCTGAGTCTTCTGTATGATACGAAGTTTTTGGCCATAATTATGTTAGAGATTTTTCCATTATTCCGTTTAAGGACCATCCTAATTCTTTTATAGAGATGGAAGCATCTCTTCCTCGCTGACAATGGCTATAATTTTCAAACATTGAAATATCTTATAAATGGATTAGTCGTATGAAATGAAGAGAAGAAGACACACAGGGATTAGTGTGAGTGAGCAAACACACAAAAAAAAAAAAAAACTAAAGCAAAAACAAATGCTTGGAGTATAGTTACAAAGGAAATGCATTCGTGGCGCTCTTAACATCCGTTAGTTTTCCGCTCACATTTTTTGTTTGTCTTACATCTCATTTTAAGTGTATTTTGTTTTAACTTTGTTATTCGCTGTTGCTGTCATTTAAATTGCTATTTTTGTGTTTTGCACTTATTCCTTTCATTGTTGCTATTGTTGATCTTATCAGCTTCTAATTCAACAAAGTGCTGAAGAGTTCAATAAAAGTTTCACTGCATATTCGTTTGTACTCGCTATTGTAGTCGTAAATTGACAGCTTAGAAACTGAATGGAAATGAAAAATAAGCTCAGTGCTTTGTAAACGACCACAGTATTAATTTGAATTGTCGTTTTCAATTGAATTTCGAATTCTCTTACCGAAATGGAATATCGAATTGCTATCACGGTGAGTGAGATTAAAAAATGTCAGCTTTTTGCGCTCCATTTGCAATCTCGCGTCCTTTTGTTGTTTTATTTCACTTTTTTGCAAATTGGATTTTTAAGTACTATTAAGTATGCACTTAATGCAAAGTGGAGACAAAGAAGAAAAAACATAAAATTCATTACAGAATCTCGTCTTAGTCAAAGCGAAAGATAATCTAATATTTGTTGTAAAATTATTCCTTCGAGGGATGAAATTATGTAATTGACTTCCCAAACAATGCCTGTTGTTAAGGAAAATATACTCATTTGTTGAAGATGTTTTGATACCTCATTACAAACGTATTAAAAATATTTTAATCCTGTTGCTTGGTAAAACTTATGAAAGCCAATCCGGTAATGTTTTCAACAACGTCCACCAAACAAAGGTTGGACTATGAGTTCATTTACTTCACACCAGATACTTCATTTCTTTCGTAGGTTTTTTTGCAGCTATACAGGACAATTTAGGGCTCTGTAGTATCGAAAAAAGCAATAGCACAGAAAATGATCTTCAGCGCTCAAAAATAGTCAAGAAGTCTATGACTTCATTAGCAATAGCATCAAGCTATTTCGATATTAGACTTATTTAGATGCGTAGTCACTGCGGAATCGCTGGAAACTGCAAAGCCTACGAACTTGCAAATCCTATAAATCTTGGAACGAGTCGGTGTCGCCTGTCCCCTTGCGTTCTAGTACTGGATCAATGGCAAAACATCCGGCATATGTGCGGTTGCGAAAATCTTCTGGCCCAGCAGCAAAAGCTTCATTAAATCTCGACGCAATTGTAGGAGTTCTAACGGGACTAGGACAGGTATTCATATGGTGAAGCAAAAAAAAAATGATGTGCACCAACACTCAGTGTTGTATGAAAGAGAACGAGGGGGAAAAATTAAGACATTATCTTCTCCACTGTCCGGCTTTCGCTAGATTGAACCACACTTTAGGCCAACCAGGCCGTAACGAATTTGAGATAAGCTCAAGGTAAAAGCATTTAATACCTCTGTTCTCAACGGGGTCATCGCAGAGAACCTTTCGCGATAATCGCGAGGAAAATGCTGTATTTTTTTGGAAAATGGGTACTTAAGGTATACTTTACAAAAAACTATTTTAAGTTATATGGCCTAACTAAAGCTTCTGCAGAAAATGTTATATGAAATTTTATTCCATAGAAACTATCAGAAATTTCTTAAACTCTAGGTATCCTGTACAGGGTATATTAAGCTTGACACGAAGTTTGTACTTCTTGAATTTCACTACTGGACTTGTATACATATTATATATATATAATAACTCAATTCGTAATCCAAACCAAATTATAAAGAATATTATATATATTATAAGATGTGCTAACTCTCTCTCATTATCACAAGAATCAACCTAATGAACCACAATCAATCACTTAACTGCTGACTTTCCACCAATCACACGATATAGTTGGCGAAACTTTCACATTTTCTTCACTGATCTATTGTGTTTCTGATTTTTTCTTTGCAGGCTGTCATTATGAAGATGTCTATTTGGAATTATGCTGATCACAGCGTAAATGCTACACCAGGGTCCTGCCACATATATGCACCTGCCATCTACAGCAAGACCGTAAGCGTCATTAATTACAATTTCAAAGATGAGGCCACCAGCCATGCAAACAGCCGCGCTGCAGCCGAATATTGAGTTGCACAACGACACACAGCGTCAGCGTCTACTACAACAGCAGCAACAACAACAAAACGTAGCACAACTACAGCAGCTTCCACTACACTTGCGACAACAACAGCCGCAGCAGCTACAGCTACAACTGCAATACCAACAACAACCGCAAACCACGCCACTGACACTACTCAACCAGTCCAGTTACGATACAACAGCGGCGGCGACAGCGCAACTAGCGCGCAACAAATACTACTTTGAACAACACGAGTTCACAGTTGATAAACCGTTGAATTTTGTTGCAACCACAACAACAGCGTCATCGAAAGAAGCAGTGAATTTAAATGTGCGCCGAAGTTCCACAACATGCGCTGCAGCGTCCATTAAGCTGCCCGTAGTCGATGAGAAGTCTAGGCAGGAGCAATTATTGCAACGCCAACACGCGCAGCCACAAGCGCAGCGCCAACCGCAGGGCGCCAGTCTTGATTACATACAATTGCTGGACTTGAGCACTTCTCCGCCACATGAGCCAATCTATCCGTTGCAAGGTAGCGTGTCTGCGTACTTGCCGCAACGGTCTTTAGCAGATGTGCCACCGCCATATCGACGCGCATCCGCAGCCAGTGTGGCACCAGTGCCAACGCATCGCACCTCCTACGCCAGCCAATATTCGCGCTCCTCGTCGAGCGAGGACGGTTCGATAGGCGGCATTAGTGCTGCGCCTTTCTCGAACTCCTACACGCGCGCCAACAACGCGCATGCATTCGACGACGCGGCCGAGCATTTCATAATCAACTTTCCAGCCGCAGACTCACCGTCGCACAATCAGAACGATTGTGTTATAAATTTGCCGCTCTCCGAGACCGAACCGTTGCTAACGAACATCGAGGCCACAGTTGTGGATAAGCAGCGCTCTATACGTCTGCCGAAGAGTAGTGCCTCATTGATATTCACGAAGAAAGATCTGTTGCCGCAACGTACTGCGTCTGTGGCACCATACCAAGCTGCCAATACGAATAATAATTGCGCAACGCAACAAAAACAACAGCAATCGAAGCAGACGAAACGCAATCAACCCAAACAACAACAACAACAACATCATCTACATCAAAGTCTGAGTTTGCGCTCGGCTAACGAATACGCCACGCGCAAGCCCGTTAAGCATCTACCCGCCTCATATCAGCAACATCAGCCACACCAACAACAGCTGCAGCAGCAACGCCGTAGTTTACAATTAAATTACAACAACAATCTGGTAACCACATCCACGTGCTGTAGCGCGAACAACAACTACTGCAGCAACGCAACGGGCAAGAGTGTTAGAGCGCCCAGCGCCAACAGCGGCGGCAGCAAGAGCGTTGGTGCTGTTTTGCATAAACATCATCAGCCGAGCGCTGCAATAAACGCTGCAGTGCCAAAAGGAGAAGAACAACAACAACAAACTGGTCAAATTAACACAAACACGGCTGCAACAACGCGCAAGCAACACGCGTACTCTTGGTACGCCCCGGTTTACACTGCACTCGAGGAGGAACTGGAACAAGATTCTAGGGTAAGTAGTGCGGAAGGATATGCATATATGTATATATGCTATATATATGTATATATGTCTGACCATTATATAATTATTTGTTTTAAACATCATTACTGAGAAGATTTTTAAACACCTCGAAAGACGGTAGACTCCCTGAGAGCTCGGGTAAAAATGTTTGCCGATTTTGTTTGTCTTATATCGGCTACTCAATTTCTATATATAGTATTTAGTACTTTATTAATGGAGATTAGATGTCAGAAGTTACTATGACCTCATAGAAAGCTTACAACAGACAATTATTGGTAAGATAAGAGTTTAATATTTTGAACTGCTGGTCTGATTCTCTTAAAGGTTTAGATTTCAAGGACCATCGACGTTTGATATACCTATTTTCCCATAAGGCCTCGATGCAACATAGAGTATCAACAAACAAATCATAATCCGATATATTTATCGCTACAAATTAAACTTCACCCCACAAATGAGCACATTTCTAAAGTTTGAGAAGTGAATATTATCTCCTCACTCTGTCGTCAATTGCGTGAAGTCTAGGGAAAGCGAATCCAATCAACGTATAATGAAGCTAAACGGTTTATAGTGCTGAAATTTAGATGTCGTTTGATGAAATATATGAGAAGGTTTTGAACTCTCTACGGGAAATCTTATGAGGCTCTACTCATTAAGAACAGATGTCGCCCACCTAGAGGAGATATTGTCTATATCTATTAATGTAGACTAAGGATGTATTCCTAATGTCGTATAATATTATCGGGAGGCTTAGACTAGAAATTGTTAAGACTTTTGCCAGAAGCACATAATTTTTCTAACACTGTATTTCGAGATTAAACTTCAAAGAAGAGAAAATAAAAACAAAAATTTAGAAAAAATTATAAATAAACAACAGAGAAATTTATACAACTTCATGTCAAAATTAAAACTTTTTTTCTGCTTTGTTCCAAACACGTAGGATTCTTCGCCAATCCACAACCTGGCCAACACAAAGAAACAACACCTCAACCACTATCAACAGCAACGGTCCTCACACAACTCTTCGACGGCGGCCGACAATGAGACCGTTGCGCTGCTAGAGACGCGCAACCAAGTCAACATACAGGCGCAGCTGCATGCGCAGGCCAACAGCCACGCCCATGCGGGCAAAGACGACATCGGCATCAGTGCTGTTGGTGGCGGTATCGGCGTTGGAAGTGGCATCGCAGTTGCACGCAACGCCAAATACGAAACGAAGAACTCAGGCCTGGCGAGACGTACAAATGGTGGCGGACCACAAGCACCTTCAACATTACCGCTGTCGAACGCACATAATGCCGTTATGCAGGCCGAGATGTCCGGTGGCGAGAGCGGCTACGCAGAGCAAACAACAGTGCCGATGAATGGATTTGAAAGCGATGTTGGGCTGGCAAACTCTCTGAGTGGCACGTTGCCGCCACGCAGGCGCATAGAGAACTTTCTGAAATCGCTGGTGGGACGCAAGTCGTCCAACGCGCGCAGCAATAGCGGCAACTCGATTAACGGTGGCAATGTTGACGTCATGAATTATCGCGCAGAAAATATTGTCTCAGAACAGCCTATGCCCTCATCGCCGGAGATAAAGATTACGCGAACGCCTTCGGAGCAGAACATGGTGCTATTGCGTGATACTACGCAACGCGGGCGTCAATATAAGCAACAGTTGGCAGCGGCGCAGGAGCAGCGAAAGAGTGATTGTGCTGGCGATAAGGTAGCCGTGAATGGTGCAATGCAGGGCAGCACATCATCACTGAATGTAGTGCAACAGAAATTGTGGAATATCATGCGGCGTGAGGGCAGCGCGGCTAGTTTGTACCACGAGAAGTCGCACTCGATAGTGCAGTACCGCGGCCTGCGCAAGTGTGAGACTGTATTGGCGCTGACACGGCAAACTAACTCATTGTGCTCACCAATATTCGGTGGCAGCGCGGCGGCACATGTGGGCGCTAGCGGCAGAAACAATGGTAGCGGTAGTAATGGCGGTGGTGGTGTGGCGCGGCACAATAGTTGTAGCGCCGGTGGTGGTGGTGGTGCGTGCGGCAGCAGCAACGGCATGCGGCGCACACACACCACTGGTAGCGGCATCTTCAGTGCAAGTGGCGTGGAACAAATACGCCCATTAAATCGGCTACGAAACAGCGTTACGAGCATAAATGCCGCAGCGACATGCTCGCGATGTTCAAGTTTACTGTCGCTGGCCGCTTCAGGATCGCGCTATTCACTCAATGTGGCGGCGAATGCAGGCATTGCTGGCGCTTTCGCACCGGCTACTGCCACGCAAATGCCCACATCTGCTTCACAACAACAGCTGCAAGCGCTGGCAGCGACGCTTGATTACAAGCCACCGCCGCACTCTTCACAACAACATCAACAACAGCGCGAATGTAAAATTAGCAACGTAAGCAGTAGTCAGTTAAATAGTAGTAATTATATTGTATTAAGTAGTAATCGCAATGCTGATACCACTGTCGTCGAGCACAATGCCGGTGGCAGCGGTGCCGGCAACAGCAGCAGTGGTAATTGTTCCCGTAAAAGCTCGGCCGATGCGCCAAGTACGCACAGCGCGAGCAGCATCACACCGCCGTCCAATATGACCACGGCTACGCTCACCTCAAGCATCACATCGCCGCATGCTAGCACACCCACAACGCCCGTAGCAGCAGCAACAGCTTGCGCGTCAGTTGCAGCCTGCGTAGTCGCACCAGATACACTAGTAATCACACCCACCGCCAACGCCCCGCAAGCACCGTTAGCCATGTCTCCATACACGGCCAACACTAGCAACAGCAACAGCAACACCTCAGGCATACTCGTCGATCTGCCCTCATCGCCAACCTCGCCGACATCGGTCGCATCGTCGGCTGGCACACCATGCACCTCCGCTTCCTGCTCATCGGCCACCACGCCTGCACCCACCTACGCATTGCCGCCAACATCGCAAACATATCCTTTCACCATAACCTCCCTACTGGCGATGTCAAAGACAACAATGGCACGCGATGCTAGCGGACGCTGTACGGGCGTTGCGGATGACGATGATGCTGCGTTGACGATAAAAATTTCATCTGCGGGCAAATGTACAACGGACGTTTTCGACGGCAGGCACTATGTAGTCCCGGCAGCAGTACCGTTGAAACGTTTCGAACCCTTCACATGCAAACTGTGTTTGGTAGATGTCGAAACAAAGGAGGAGGCCACCACGTTGCAGCAATGCGGCTGCGAATTTTGCACTGAGGTGAGTACAAACAATAAAAATAAGAATCAAATACCTTCGATTACCCAAGGCTCACATTTTTTAATAAGAATCATGTATACAGTTTTGAGTGCCTTTTTGATGGAATTATTGATCTTTGCGTACCCATTCATTCAAATAAAAGCTGAACCTCATCACTGAACACCCATTTGTGCCCCCGAAGGTAAAAATATTGTGAGTGCTTTCAATCAAACTTTATTTTAAGGCCAACATACCTTGCTTTGAAGCAGTTCACTTCTTATTAATTGTTTATATGGAACAATAAAAACTATATGAAGATCTTAACAATTCGACTACATGTAAAATTTAAAAACATATGTATAACTCGGGTCATTCTAAGAAATATCGTCCTTGTACATTTGTGGAATACCTCACAAGCAAGATCAAGCCACTTTCAACATAGAACAATTCTATATTTCTGTTCTAAGTATTTCTAGTCATCTAGGTAAGGTCAGTCAAAAACTTAATCTAAAATATTGAGTTATATAAACGATCAATGTGACAAGCTGAATCGATTTGACTAAGTCTATCTGTCTGTATATACGCACACTAATCACTTAGTTTTTAAGATACCGATCTGAAATTTCTCGCACGACCTTTTCTCCCCAAGAAGCTGCTCATCTGTCGGAAGTGCCGATATCGGACACATGTAGCATATAGCTGCCATACAAACTGAATGATGAAAATCAAATTTTTGTATAGAAACTTTTTTATTTGGGAACGGTATTATAACTTCGGTGCAACCGGTCCATATAAATTTGACCTTTCATTACAGGTGTGTATTTATTTTTCTTTCTAAAAGCCCCATTTCTAGTTTTATCGGGGATATGTTTCAATTGATCTCTCAACATCTAGATACAAAATTGGCTATATTTTTTTCTAATACATGTGACTACACTGCCTATATTTCAGCGACAGAAATAAGATTTGCCTGCTCTTGTATCTTTATGACTATCTAATAAAAATACTTTGGTAGGAAACCCACGAGTTTCACTTAGTTGGTTGCAAGCAAAAAACTTACATTGCATGGCGCTCAGAATAACCAATCAAAGAGCTTAGTGATTTTTGGCGATGACTCAGTCATATTTTTCGCTGTATCCTTACCGCCCAACTATCCACCCTCTGTAGGCTCACCTTACTCAACTAACCTTAACATATGATTTTGCTACGGTTCATTGACCACAGTCGTCCTACTGCTGGCGGCAAATGACAACATCTCTCAAACCACAACAACATAAGCCAACGCCAACGCCAAATTTCGCTCTGCTGCTGACTAGCTGTCAGCTGCATTTTCGCTGATTCTCCATGCAAACATATGTATATATTTATATATGTATATGTACTTGTAAACATGGTTGAATATCTGCATGGATGTGTATGTATGTATGTTTGTTTGCCCGTTGGCTGCCTCGTGTGTGACCTCCATCGCATATATTACGAGCAAGTAATTGTTGTTTATTTGTATGAGCGCTGCAACTGCAGTTGGCAACGCCATTGGGAATTCACCTTTGCGCACACACATACACACACTCATTTGGGTAGGCAAAGCAAAGAAATTTGGTAATTTCATGAAGCTTTTGCATATATGGATGTTGAATCCTTGTATGTGTGTTGATCCCTACATATACGTGTGTTTGTGCAACGGTGTGTGTGTGTGTGTGTGTGGCAGCAGCGTTTGCTAAGCACTCGTGAATTGATGATGTCTTTCGACAATTCATCCGTGTCTCTTTTTCCCCTACCTATCTGCTGTTAGCCCATCATCCACAACAACAACGATAGTAAAAGCAACAACAACAACAAACACAGCTTTTGTGTGATATTAATTGCTCTTCAAGGTGCAATTAAATACGAATTTCATTGTGTAGTCAGCATTCGGCATTCTCGTTTCGCCATTTTCGGGGATTTTCCCTTGCGAAGTATTTGCTTATGCTCCACTACGTCTAAGTAAATATGTAGTACTCGTTGTACTGACTACTCGTCAACTGACAGTTGTAGCAGTTTTCCTGGCAATCTAATTTCGTGTAAATCGTTTTGTTTGATGACTTTCTATAGCTTTTGAATGACACAATGGATTCGAAATGAATTGTAGGATTTTGTCGATGTGATTTTTAGTGGATGTGGCAAGGAGAGTGTTTCATTAAATGTCCTACTTAGCAACTACCGTTAGTATATGATTGAGTGAGTTAACGGAAGGCTAAGAGTGTCATTTTGTGCTCAATTAAATTTATTGTATGACAGTTGTAATTTATTGTGATTGTTATAAGCTATTGAAGCCGGTTAATATTGTGGTAAATAGATATTTGTGGCTATACGACATAACCACAAAAGTCAATTCGATACCTAAAATGAGGTTTTGTTAGGAATTACTGCGCTACTTTAAGGTAGTTGCTCGGATGTTTAGTTTTAGCTACAAAAATCTCTTTGAAGTCCTCGAACGAATTATTGAGCAAAAAAATTGAGATTAAAAAACTATTTTCGATTATTGTTTCGAGCAATCTACAACAAATACAAAGAATTATTAAATTTTATTACTGCAGGTACTTGTGTGTCTTTTTCTTGAAATGTCTATAAGCGAAGAAAGAAATTAAAAAATAACATGGACTTTTGTTGTCTAAAATTTATTTTAGGTCAAATAAGGGAGTTAAAAGACACTATGAATGCAATTTAAGATAATGGGCTTTAGTTTCAAACAAAGAGCTTAAATTGGCTCTCAGGATCACTCTTGTCAGCTTGGCAGAGAGAAATATGGATTATAATGTGGACCAAGATCCAAGTTCTTCTCATTAGCCTATTACATTCCCATGTGTTTTTTATGTGAGGTACTGAAGTTAACTTGCTTGCATTTAAATGCTTAAAATATACCATCAAAGTATATTCAAATACGACACAAATCTTTATTAGCGTTTGACAAGGAACGCTTAATCCAAATTTCCATACACTTGTTTTAAAACTCGGCTACGATGACCTTCAGCGAATGACTTTTACACTGTCACAATCATACTAAAATGTGACGTCGAACTATCGTGGCGATAGCATCTCCTTGATTTCTCATCGACTTTGACGTAATTTTTTCGGTTTCAGCTCATTTTTGGAGCGTCATTCGTTTCACACAGTTTCGCCGTGTACTAATGATGCATTTGACAAGCATCTCGTTTGCGACTCGACATCGTTTTTGCACAAGGTTCAGATCTTTTGGTACGAGTCTAATATTGACACACTTTATGTCCAAAACATTAGCCAAAATACGTTCAGGATCCAACAGAGATGTCTAGATCCTCGGTTATCGCTCTGATACCAACAGATGTATAGCTACGTTTTTTGAGAACCCAGAAAACTATGGAAAAGTAAATAATAAATTAATGTGGAATTTCAGTAGTCAAGCATAGCGCAGTTTTTGAAATATTCCAATACTACATTATACTCTGTGGTTCCAAAAACTTCTCACTGTATTGCAGCAAACTATTGCCTACATTTAGGCTGATGTCAATTATATAGAATTGTCGGCTTTGAACCTTATCATCCATAACCTCACTGATATCCCTAACATTTGGTTTAGTTTTTTACTGAAAAGCCTCATGTTATTTACCGTGAGCATACTTTATGGCTGCGTAAGATGAATTAAGAGTTATTTATAGGGGCTTTTTAAGAGTAACCTTGCGCTTGCGCTTTGCGATTATTCGGAATATGGATCACATGGTTGTGGGTGAGAGAAGAACAACAAAATATTTGACTTTGCATACATAATATACAACCAATTTCAATGCGAAGTCGTCACTCATAGCGATACTGACGAAAGAAATCCAACTAATGGATCCACACTTCATACTATCGTGAATGTCAATGACTTTTTTTTCTCTCACACCCACTTTTTATAATACAATTTCCAACTCTCTTTGTTAAAACTGTAACTTATACTGTACTTAAAGTCTTTAAGATTTAAACGAAAATTGATTGATTCTCCTAGAAAACTTTAGCAATACGGCGATATCATTTATTACTAACGTAAATTGCAATCGGGGAAAGCAATCAACTTGCCACAATGTACGTTGCATTCCTAAGCAGTAAGAAGTGCTATAGCAACAACAACAACATTATAGAAGTAGCAAGAGCTTAGGTGAGCAAAACTGACCAAGTACAACGTCAAGCCAACAGCTGCAACTTCAGCAACAACAAAAACATCAGCTCCATGCTACATCATCATTATTGTCAACATCATCATCATTACCGTTAGCTGCTCGATCAAAGTAGTCAAGTCACGCTTGCACCTGGCATTACTAAATCGAACTCAATCACCCACTCCACCAGCTGATTTGCACTATTAAGCACTTCCACTACCTTACGCTGTGGTAGCAACCTTTACCTTTGCAACGCCGCATGTGAACACTTTCAATGCATTCCACAATCGAAATTGCAGCAATAAAACGCTACTTAAGCGCGTCGTTTTATTACAATGTGAGAAAGAAACGGGAACCGGTAAATGAAAGCGAAAAAATCAAAGACGCAATTCCCGCAATTCCAACGAATGGAAAGCCAAACACAATGCCAACACATCATTGCAGTTAAAAAGTTATTGCTGCTGTTGTTGTTGTTGCCGTTGCCTGCAAGCACGCACGAAGTACGAAGTTGCACATACACACACACACACATACTCTTGCACTCACGTGAAAACATTTCTAATAAATATCTTACATTTGATAATGCCCTTAACTTCACTTCACATGTGATGATGCTTTGTGGCATGTCGCATGTGGTCATGCCTGGGACATGTTGCAACCTTTATTAAATTGTTATTTTTATGCTGCCATAAAATCTGTTATGATATTTGACGGCGAATGGGAAATGAAGAAAAAAAGAAAAGTATAAAAATATGTTTTCGTGTGTGTGTGTGTCGGGGCACATATCTCAGTGCCAACTTTGTTGCAATACAGATGCAACCCTGAGGTCAATTTACTAGTTTGAAATTATTAAGAACTGAAATAATC